TGATAAAGAATGGGGACTTCTCAACCTAATCAGTGTCGCGCAGCTGGTTGTAAGAACCGAATTAAAGGTGTCTTTCGATGACGAAGGATCAGAAATCATTGAAAAGAAATCCAAGAATGTTCTTCTAAAATCACAACAAAAGGGTGAAATGTATCCATTGAATCTGAACACAATAAAAGAGAAGCCTGCCATTTGCCTACTTACAAAAGCTCATTCTGATGAAAGCTAGTTATGACACAGACGTGTTTCGCACCTGAACTTCAAATACATCAACAAACTCATTCTTGGTGATCATGTGCGAGGACTTCCTCTATTGAGATTCGACAAGGATCATTTATGATCAACCTGTGAGATGGGAAAACAAAGTACAAAGAGTCATCCAACTATTATAAACACAAAAGTTCTCGAACCTTTGGAGCTTCTACACATCGACCTTTGTGGACCTTTTTCTATTGAAAGTGTTGGTGGTAGTAATTATATACTAGTAATTGTTGATGATTTCTCATGTTTCACATGGATACTCTTTCTTAGATAGAAATCTGATGCAACACCAAAGCTCAAGGATTTTATCAAGCAAATTGAGCTTCAACCGGGAAAGCTGGTTCGCAACATTCATAGCGACAATGGGCTTCAATTCATAAACAAAGTGTTTGAAGAATTTCTTGGTGAAAAGGGAGTCACTCATATTTTCTCTACTCCTTACACTCCACAACAGAATGGCATAGTTGAAAGACGAAACTGTTCCTTGTGTGAAGCTACACGGACCATGCTAACATTTGCAAGTCTGCCACTCTACTTTCGGGTAGATGCAATTGCTACCGCTTGCTTTACCCAAAATCGATCCATCTTGAATAAGCGATTCTCAATAACTATTTATGAAATAATAAATAATCGCAAACCTAACGTTAAATTTTTCCACCTTTTTGGTTCCAAGTGTTTCATCTTCAACTCCAAGGAACAACGAAACAAGTTCGATGCGAAAGCTGACAAATGTATATAATTTCATATTCATTGACATCTAAGGTATATAGTGTTCTCAAAAAACTCTCAAAGAAGATAGAAGAAACCTACTATCTCACGTTTGACGAAAATTATCTGAAGCGAATTCAGTCAAACGAAAGCCAAATCAAGGAAATCTTTCCTAAACCTAGTCCAGCTGTTATTCATGTTTCCAGTCTTTATGAAGAGTTCATGTTACTCTCTGATGAACCTGAGAGGGTCATCACGTTTAAAGCCAAGGCAGTAGATAATAAAGTCGAAGAACTTAAAAAGATTATCGACGATGCTGCGAAAGATATGCTAATCAACCATCCACTGTGAATGTCCCTCAAAACACGAGCGAACTTTCCAAGGGGAGTATTCTGGGTCTAACACACAATTCCAGGGGGAACTCTAAAACTCAAAACATGAGCACAACTTTCCAAGGGGGGTATTCTAGGTCTAACACACAATTCTAGGGGGAGAATGCTACAACTCAAAGCACGAATGCTTCTCTGCAAGGGGAGGATTTTGCTTCACCCATTTCTACTGAGCTTCCTTCTGATGGAGATAATTCCCCACCAAATATGACCCACGAACCTCCATCCACAGATGATTCAATTCCTGAAGACAATGAGTTCGCATCATTCGAGGGGGAGAATAAGGAAGCGAATGATGATTCGGACCCTCAATCTGTTCAATCTGAATTCAAGGAAGTAAATATTGAATTAAATCCATCCTTAGATCCCAATTATCCTCCTATGACCAAATGGACAAGAGATCACCCAAAAGTTCAAGTTATTGGTGAATCCTCAGCAGGTGTCCTTGCCCGTTCTCAACTGAAAGCGAAGCAAACTGAATTATTCTCCAAATTAGAATTTTGTATGTTTAATTTGTTTGTATCCAAGATTTAACCCAAAACTGCCAACATTGCTCTCGATCATTCTGATTGGGTACAAGCGATGCAAGATGAACTTAATGAGTTCGAATGAAACAAAGTCTGGAGACTGATTCCAACTCCCCCAGATGCATCAGTTGTTGCTTTAACATGGGTGTTTCGGAATAAAATGGATAAAGAAGGGAATGTGATCAGAAAAAAAGCTAGACTCGTGGTCAAAGGTTACTGTCAGGAAGTGGAGATTGACTACGAAGAGACCTTCGCACCCGTTGCAAGGTTGGAATCTGTTCGCATCTTCTTGGCATATGCAGCGCACAAAAAATTTGAACTTTTTCAAATGGATGTGAAGTGTGCATTCCTAAATGGTGAACTGGAAGAGACTGTTTATGTGGAGCAACAACCTGCATTTATAAACGAAAAATGTCCCAACGACTATCATATTCTTAACAAAGCAGTTTACGGTCTAAAACAAGCTCCAAAATCCTGGTATGAAACACTAAATCGTTATCTTAAAATGTCCAAATTCAATAAAGGTTCCGTTGACCCAACCTTCTTTTGGAAGAAAGAGGGTGACCACTTGATGATCATACAAATTTACGTTGATGATATCGTCTTCGGATCTACTAATCCCAGGCTTACAGCTCAGTTCCGAAAGCTAATGGAAACTAAATTTGAGATGAGCTCAATGGTTCCATTTAACTTTTTTATTGGATTAAATATTAGACAGGGACAGGAAGGAATTTTCATTAATCATGAAGCTTACACAAATAACCTAATTGCTAAGTTTGGAATGGTGGGAGACTCGAAGACGAAGGTACCAATGGAATTCGAAACAAAACTGACTCCTTCACTGGATAAACCGGCTGCTGATATGACCCTTTATCGTCAAATGATAGGATCACTCATGTATCTAACAGCTAGTAGACTGGATATTATGTTTTTAGTTTGTTATTGTGCTAGATTCCAAGCTAACCCATGTGAACCTCATATGGTGGCTATCAAGAACATCTTTAGGTATCTGAAACGAACGTCATCTCTTGGAATATGGTATCCTGCGAACTCAGGATTTTTCATGCAAGAATTCTTAGATGCTGACCTAGGGGTTGCGGTTTAAATAGAAAAAGCACAACTGGTGGATGCCAATTTCTTGATGGCAAGCTGGTGAGTTGGCAATCGAAGAAACAAACATGCATTTCGTTGTCAACAACTGAGGCTGAATACATAGCTACAACTTTGTGCACAACTCATGTCATTTGGATTCAAAGCCAGCTTCACGATGATGGCTTAAGTATGAAAAGGATTTTCTCTATTGTGCATCCGAAAGTGTCATTCGCATTTGTCACAACCCAGTGCAGCACTCAAAGACGAAACATTTAGCACTGAGGTATAACTTTATCAAGGATTATGTGGAAGGTGGCAATGTCGAAATTCATTTTGTAAGATCCGCTGATCAATTAGTCGACATATTCACCAAGTCGCTACCTGAAGCAACCTGCAATAGAATACTTCAAGGGCTGGGAATGATGGAAGCTGAATTTGTACCAAACCCAGTTTTGCACTCATAAAGTTACACTGCGAATCGGTGCGAACATTCACTGTAATTCGCAGTCAACTATTCATTCACAGTCTACTTTCTAAATGTGAATCGGTGCGAACATTCGCAGTAGTTCGCAGTCCATTGTTCACTCGTGGTTTGGTTTTTATATATCCTTTTGTACTATTTGTGTATTATTACTTATCTTTATTTTCAGCTCGTATATTTTCTCTTTTTATTTCTTTTCAGAAAAATTCCAAAAACCAAAATTGGTTTATTTGTTTTTATTCTTCATTTTTCAGAAAATCTAAAAAACCAAACAAAGTTTATTCATTTCTATTTTTTTTTTGTTTTTCAGAAAATTAAAATCACAAAAAGACTTTTAATTTGTGTTTATTTTTATTTCTTTTCTTTTCACAAACATTCAACAGGTTCACACTACAATCATACCATCAGATGTTCGCAACATCTATCCATTCGTGTGATGGGGTAGGTATAAATATCTTTACTTATGTATTAGCAAAGTGTCCCTAGAAGCATGTTGCCGCATGTTAACCTAAGCCTCAACGCCTCGATTGTGAAGCCTTAATGAGTTGATACTACCAATCAATTCTTCCCAATCAGGCTACGAATTCAAATTAGACATGAGCTACCTTACTCTTCTTACATTGAGCTAAGAGTTATCTGCATGGTCACTTTCACCTTGTAGAGGTACTTTCGCTTTCTTGTAACCATCTACTCTCTTCTCCATCAGTTTCACATCCATACATGTAACCCTTGAGACTTTCAGAAATTACCACTGAGGTTTATAGTTACACAACATCTGTGTTAATGATCTTAGTTTCATTCTACCACGAACTGAGTGAAACCCAAAATTCAATACATTATATGAATTGACGGTGAACAATTAAATGTTCTAGTATTTTCACATGGGAATTAACGAAAGTCCACGTTTGTGGTCAGTACCAAGAAATCTCTTTTCTTTTGTGAGATCCTAATGAAATGCTCTCGTCCCAAGACATTACTTCCCAATGGATCTAGTTTTTACTTTATTTTTGAGATTTAATACTTATCCAAGTCACTAACATAAATTCCAAACCTACTCGTTCAACTGACTACACTGGTCACACGAGTACTTTTACCAACTTTCGCACTTATGTCAAGTTCGGGATTTGGTTGAAGGATGAACCACCCTTTATACGCCTCATGAAAAAATTCATTTCAATGTTTCTTATCAAACATTTGATCGTGTTCAATAGGAAACCATACAGACACTTCTTAGTCTCTCTTGACTATGAAGGAATAGATCTTAGCTTGGGATCAACAGTTTTATGTCTTTATTTAGACATCACTAATTCCCATAGATATACTTTGTTTTATTTCTTTCTCTTTGACACTCTTGCACGAAGATCCCAATGACTTTCAAAAAGTCTAGTTCGTGGTTACTAATAATTATTCAGGTTTGCAGTTGTACCCACGTTCGTGTCTTTGAACGTTTGTATGAATCAAAAGCGCTTTCTTAACTGCGAATGGAGATGAGCTGACGCGACAAAATTTAAAAGATAAGAATTCAAACGGGCGCATGAAAAGATGAATGGACAACTATTACTACCCCTCGTGATGCACGTATCTGACACTTCACAGTTGTCACATCACGCTTTTTCAGGTGACGGTTCAGTAACCAATACACACACACACACACACTCTCTCTCTCTCTCTCCCTCTGGATTTTTCTCACATATCAAATCGTATATAAATATTTTGACGGTTCCATCTATCATTACCACTTTCAAAATTCTTAAATCAATTTTCGGTGATTAAAAAGTTCTCTACTGTTCATCTTCTTCTCTAAGCTTCATCAATGGATAGATCATCTGAGAATCTTTCTATTCACGAACAAACTGATCGTTCAACTCTTCTGGCCACTAAGCAACACCAAAAACCTCATCGTCGATCTGGATCCAGTTAAGTATGATCCTTACTTGCTACCTCTTATCGAGTGCTTGAAATACTCCCCTCTGACCATTGCTTTGACTCAACTTGAGAATGTTCCGATCTCGATTCCCTCCAAGGCATACACAACAACCAACTATGTCGATGATGAACAACGGATATACTTCGACATCCATAACCAGTCGACCTCTATTTCCAAATCCTGTTTCTGCAATCTGTTAGGGCTTCCTCATTTTGATAACTTGGTCAACCTTGAAACCATTTCTAATGCTACTATCTCAGAAATGTTTTATCAAATAGGGTACAAGGAAACTCTTACTGCCATTTCCAAGTTCAAGAAGCCCAATCTTCCACCTACATGGAACGCCCTATTCACCATCTTGTTTAAAGCCTTTTCTGAAAGGGTCACCGAAAATGACTGTGCGAGCAAGCTTTTTATGGGTCTAATGTACGGTCTTTATATCGGAGAAAACGTTGATTATGGGTCCATCCTCTGGGCTCAAGTTATCCAGAGCACTCACTCGACTAATCGTCACAGTGAGATCTCCTGTGCTAGATTATGTACAGTCATCGTTCACAGAGCGATTCAGCAACTCAAGATTCGAATGATGTCTGATGTACTGATGGCTCCTATTGCAACACTTCATACTACCGGCATCATTGTGGCCGATCCTTCAAACTTTTCTTTCATTGGATCAACACCGGAGGCAATGTTTCGTGATGTGTCTGCCACCAGCAAAATCCTTGAGGGTTATCGCACTCTTACTCGCTTAGAATTTTGCCCAATGACTGTTGAATTCCAAGCGATATTGGCTGAGGTGGAAAAGGCAAGAAATGGGGAAGAGGGTCAAAGAAAGCTACCAAGAAAGACGCTGCTAAAGAAGGACCTTCAGAGGGTGTGAAACCTCCATCGAAAAAGCGAAAGGCTCATGTTGCGTCTACTACTGCACCAAAGAGAAGAAAGCAACCTACTAAAAGGAGAGAATCTCCTACTCCTTCTCCATCCCAGAGTAAGGATGAAAGTTCTAAATCTGACTCCGAGTCGGAGATTCGCATTGAGGAGAATCAGCCCGTTCGCACTGAAGATCAAGGGTCAGTTCGTAATAACAAGGGCAAACACATTCACAACCAACCTCCTGTTTGCACTGAAGTTCCTTCCTAGAATCGTGAGGTAATTCCACCACTCAATGATTCTATTCCTTTTCCTCCTCCCACACCAAAAACAACCAACTATACACCAATTACAATTTCATCTTGTGCTCCATCTGTTTCATCACAACCACCTACATCTATTCCAGTTTCAATCCATATCTTCACAGAATCCACCATTCCACCCCAAGCCTCTACTGCACTTGTAAGTTCAGTCAGCGTATCTGATACGGGGGCTAACATTTTAGGTTTTTCAATCCATGTTACTCCACCAATATCTCCTATTCACACCGATGACCCAGGCATGATTTTCAGAGTTGATGAATATGATATGGGTGGATTTACTTACAGTCCTTTTCAAATCAGGATTGATAGTGAAAATGAAGCCTCTACTATGAAAGGGGAACTCAAGTTTCTTCATGAGAAGATCGACCAGCTGATTCTTGCATCCAAAGCTTCTTCTTCTGAGGCTTAATCCAAAGCAGCTATTGAGTCCATTCGTGAGTGGGTCACAAAGGAACATGTAGCTAATGCCTCTACTATGACCAAGGCAATTTCTGAATCAGGTGATGTCTGCAAATCCATGACCTAAAAATTCGATAAACTAATTGCTGACACCATCGAGTTTATGGAGGATTACAAGAATACCTAGAACTCCAACACCGTCACTGCGAACAAGGCCATTCAGAATGTTGGTGCCATGTTTAAAGCAAAAAAGGCGAACTTTGTTGAACTTTGCAAGGAGTTTCAGTCTGATAATGAAGCATTCCAGTCTTCCATCGATGCGAAGATCTCAAAGCTTCAGAAGGAACTGGAGATGGAGAGCAAAATAATGGATGCTCTTGCCATCAAAGAAGAAAAATGTAAAGTATTGGAAACAAATCTTTGCTACACTGAGAAGCAAGTCGATGATTAGCTATCGGAGAGGGCTGTCATTAGAAGTTATATCTCTGATGATACTAAAATGCTCTTTGATATCATTGAGGCTTGTGATCCCAGGATCTCCATCACTATAAAGAATAATCTTCCTGAGAAGCTACGCCCGGTGTTCGCTATGTTACACCGTTTGGAAGGTTTTTTGAAACCGGGTTCATTTTTGCAATAAGGGGAGAAGGTGGCTTCAAAGTTTAATCGAATGAACCCCCCAAAGCTCCAGTTAACCCTCCCGTCATCATGAAAGAACCCAAGAGTAAAGAAAAGCTATTTAATGATGAACCCATTATCGATGATGAAGGAGATGAAGAGCCTGATGAAGCTGAGCTTAAAAGGTGGAATGCTCGTGAGGCAGAGTTGGATGAACATGCTCACATCGTCAGAGAGGTAGAAGAAAAGGAAAATGTTGAAAAAGAAGCTCATGCCACACTCAAAAGCCGAATGATGCTATTCCGCAAGTGGACCCTGAAGCAAATTCAAAATGAGGTTGTGGATCTGCCAGGCCAATGTTGGTTGGATCCAGTTGCATCCTTTGACGTTCAAAATTTTCAGGATTCACAGTTGGACCATCCACTTACTCCAAAGGCCTTCAGATTTTGTGCCTTCATGAAGGTTGCTGATGCACATCTCATAGACAGCAAGGCTGATTAGATGGTGTTTGCCTTTACTTGAAGCACATGAAGCCTCAATACGAGACTTGGAGTATTCACAAGATTGTCGCTGTGAAAGTCACTGGGCCGATCGAGACCGGAAGCTTCCCTAATGCGAAGTTTTATGTTGCGAGAGGATCAACATGTCAAACTTACAAATTCACACTCGCAGACCTGCCCTGCCTGAACCCCCATGACTGGATAGTGCTATACAACATGTTGCTAAGAGAAAAGCAGAAGTACGAACCAGTGATGATCCATCTCAAACTTATGATCAAGTCATACATTCAGGAGGTTGGAACCACGGATGTGGATATTGCCACAGTTTTGAGGACGAAACCAAGTGTTGTTCCTAAGGAAGCTCCGAATAACTTCGAGAAGCTCAAACCAGGAAAAATTTACAAGGATGGTTTGTAGTGTACATGTCTAGAGATCGTCCAGGAGCAGAACGTCAGAATCTATATTTTCATCTTGAAGACAAACACATGTATACTACTACTTGTATGGAGTTTATTTTGGAGCAGGTTACAAAGTTCAAGGGCAACCACAACGATGACTTGAAATGTTTCTCTGATCTGATCACGTGGTATATCCAGGTTTGTAAGCTGTTGTTGAGCTTCATTCCCAAGATCTACGAAGTACAGATGCGAATCAAGAACTGAAGGGCTATGATCTCAATTGACGCGAAAGGGGAGATTGTTGAAATTAAGTATTGCGTCATTGGGCATTTTTTGTTTATTCCATTTTGTACAAATGTCTTAGGCCTGTCCACTCGTATTCACTGCTAGGGTTATACTATATATGGTTCATGCATGCTACGTATTTTAGAGAAGTTTTGATATTATCTTTGTAACCTTATTTTGCGCCTCTACAGAAACAATTCTTTGTCGAGTTTTTCTGAGGCGTGTCTGCTAATCATTCAGCACCAATTTGATCATATGGTGTTCGTGTTTACCCGTTTTAATCTATTCGATCTTTAAGGATGTCATCCTTACAATGATTTCATCCTAACACTTTCTCTATTCTTCATCCAGTTTTCTTTTTTTTCCATTTTTGACTATTGGATTGTTGTTTGGACTTCATCACTACAAGTTCATTAGTTTCAACTTTTAACAATCAAATTATATCTTTTTGATAAACATAAACCGATCATCTCATTCATAATTAAAAATAATCTTAATCACAATATGATACTAAGATAATATGATTTATGATAAACAATTAAACAATAAAAATAATCTTATAATTTGATTTTAATTTATGATAATTTATAATCTGATCAATGGATTTTTGGTAACATAAATACATAAAAGAAAACTAGTAATCTAATCATATAAATACATTCATGTATTCAGTTCCTGATAATCTTAAATCTATAATCTGATTAATAAAAAATTTGATAATTTGATCAATGGAATTTTTGATAATATGATCAGTTGAATTTCTGATAATATCATTCTTTCAAATTTTGAATTCTGATCACATAAATACATTTAAAATTTGAATTATGATAACATAAATACTAGAGTAATCGATTATTGAATTAGCAGGACTCAAGAGTGGACGAAAACGTCTGGTAATTGATTGATTAATCGACCCTTGATTTCCTTCTTGTTGAACGATACTTATACCGACTGTCTTCCCTTTGCTTGTGGCCTACTAATCGATTAAAGTCTTTACTATCATTTCCTTTGCATATGGGCCTGGTTCATGAATGTAGTATAAAAAATTAGACCCATAAAAAAATGGGTCATGTGCACTTGCGCATAGCTTATCACGGCCCCTGAATGAAAGAATAGTTTTTCTTCAACACTATATGAAGATTAAATTATGACATCATGGGGGCGGTTTTTTGTTTATATTTATTTTTATATTTGTTTGTTTTCATGTATCAATGTTATATTATTACTTTTTGTTTAATATGATATGTAAAAACTATAATAAATTGTGTCTATATGGAACTAGGAAATTTTGTGCACTATATGAGAGCTACATTGTTTAAGTTTATATAATTGGTTATTATATAAACAAGTTTGTTTCTAGAGTAAATTACATGAATGGTCCCTATGGTTTGGATAATTTACAGATTTGGTCCTTAACTTATTTTTTTAACTCAGAAGGTCCTTACAGTTTGTTTTTGTTGCGCGCTTAGTCCCTGTCTACCTAAGAAGACTATTTTTCTATTGATTTTTTAATTTATTTAAATAAGATGAGGTAGATAAGGTAAGGTAAGGTGATGTGGAAGTGGGGTTGGGATGTGTTTTAAGGGCAAAATAGTCTTTTTAGGTAAGACAGAGACCAAACGCGCAACAAAAACAAACAGTAAGGACTTTCCAAGTTAAAAAAATAAGCTGGGGACCAAATATACAAATTATCACAAACCATAGAGACCATTTGCGTAATTTCCTCTTGTTTTTACCAAATATATGTTGTTGAGGTAACATTAATATTCTTCGTTTAAATAAATTATGAACCCCAACTTTTAAAAGACTTTGTTGTAAAGCCAATATAATTGTGTCTTATTCACATGGGTCTATCACCTATATTTATATATCAATTGACTACTTGCTCTGTGGTATCATGTGTTATATATTTTCTCTCTTTAAGATCGAGGGTTCAAGTTCGGTTTGAAACATATATTAAATTATTAGTAGTTTAGGAGTGTATTAGGCCTTTTTTTGAATGGCTGAATGATTATAAATCAAAGGTTAGCAAATAGGTAACAAAAACCAATTATAACAAAATAATTAAAATAGGGTCTAAAAACCAAAAAATACGACTAACACTTGCCTTTTTACACTTATACACAAACCAATTAAAAGAATTGTCACCCAAACTATCATTTAACACATTTCTTCGAATATTTTGACCATCGAAGAGAATAGCATTCTGAAAGATTAGCCACTATATCGTCAATACAATCACTTCCAACAATCCTGTTTCATTGTAGAAATCTGCACGGAATCTAACCAATGAAACACGTCATCGATCTCAAGAAATAGCAGAATTTGGATGTCGCACCACTTACCAACAAATTTGAAAATTGTGTTGTTACTTCACGCGATATCAAAAGCTGGTTTATATCTTTCAAATTAGAGATAGACAAACCGTAAATGACAGAGGAAATAACAATACATTTATTATCCAAGTTTAATCTAGAAGGGAGATGTTTAATACGACATCAACAAATAAATATGTTAACTTTCTGAGGAAGATACTTAATCTAACGATTTGTAAGAACACCATTAGGAAGCAAACTATCATCAATGACTTTTAAGTCCCATAAATTGCGAGTTTATCCTTGTGACAACCGTCAATTTCCGATCAAGTCAAATTCAAATAAAGTGAACAGGTCAAACCGGTCAACTCATCTAACCCTTGTATATTAGGGTTTACATTATGCTACCATTGTACAACTCGCTATTTTAATAAGAAGTTATCACTTGGAAAGTTCGTACGTTCATAAAATCTCAACCCTAATCGGGGTAAGTAATGAAACTATTCGATAAAACATTATTCCATACCCCTCGGGGACGTATAACAATCATAACGAGGCTTAACTGGGTGCACGAACCTTGTGTTGCGAAGCTAAACATCCAAAAAGGTCACAAACGAAGTCTCTCTCAACCTCTCTTTATCAATCTCTCTCTCTCCCAAATCTCTCTCATAACCTCCCTCAACTTTTTATAATGATTTGGGGGCATCCCAACCCTTAACTTAGCTAAAAACTACGCAAAACGGGGAGTTTACACGAAAAACAGCCTTATAGGGCCGAACCTTCTTACGGTCGAAACCATATAAAGCGAAACCCATAAGAACCAAGGAGCCAAAGCCAAAGCCAGAGCAACCGAAACCAAAAGCAGAGAGCTGAACTCATACAGACCGAACGTCGCAGGGACCGAAACTAAAACAATAAGAACCGAACCTGCTAGAGGAACCGAACCTGAAACCCGGAGGACCGAACCTCGCCTTCGCCTTCGCTCCATTTCGTTTCCTTCTCTTCTCGCCTGCGAGATTTCCTGGACCAAGGCTCCTCTCGGCTTTCAGCCATAGCCGAAACCACCTTTGGGTCCCAACCCCTGAAGACTGAACCCTCGACTCCAATTTCGAAATTCCGCAGATTTCGTACTTTTTCCCGGTTTTCGACCACTTTCGTGTTTTAAGCCCATTTTTCATGATTTTGACGTGGGATTTTCACCCAAACTCATATTTTCACATATAAAACACTATATATTCATAATTTAAACGCATTTTAGGGGAAATCTTTGCCTAAGAATAAAATCTAGTAGGTAAGATATTGAGGTGGAGTGTTGACTTTACCTTTGAGTTATGACACAAGCAATCCTCCACACCCACTCCAGGGCCATACTCAGCCACTATTCATCCATACTTAGTCAACTAGTTGTCCTTTCACCCTCTTTCACATGACCATAATCACATCAAAGGGCTGGAAACCTTCACTTCTCTTCCCACAATATTCACTCTTTCTCAAGAAGAATCAAACCCATTTCTCTCTCACTTTCTCTTTCTAAACACTCGAAATTGAAGGCTATTCATGTGCATTTCCCTCCAAGGTTGGTAAGTAACTTCATCCTACATTTGATTATCTTTCATCCTTTCACTCAAATCATGGATTCCTTACACAAATATCATCATATGTGTTACTAGATCTTCGAATCCTCAAGTATCTCCTAAGTGTTCTTGACTTGGAAACTCCTTTTCTTCATCATCCATCAACTGAAATCACTCAAGGTGAGTTCATACCCCCACATTTTCATGTTTTCTTCATGTTTTAGGGGGGGGGGGGAATACAAGTTAAAACACCAACAACATAACTAAACTCAAACATTAGCTTTCAACAGAAAAGTTAATCTCCATTCACGAACTGTTTTGAGTATATTAAACTTTTTAGTGTTCAAAACTATATTAGGTGCACATAGTTCAGGTTTACACCTTTAAAATGACTACTTGCACATGTCCATACGATTTTTCTACAATTTATGGTGATTTTTACAAAAATTCCTATCACTATAGCTATGAATTCGGACCTGTCTGTGAATATGAACATTTTCACACCAGTTAGGGGATTCTAAAAATCATTATAAAATTTGAGAATAAACTAGACACATTTTCTAAACTCTCAGAGTTTTATGGATCTGGTTTTCGATTTCGGATGGTTTTTCTGTGCTTTTTCTAAATCAGTGCAGAAATGGTAAAAATGAATTTACAGATTACAACTTTATTAACACATTGTAACATGTTGAGCAAAGTATAAATTTTTGATGTCTTCATATTTTGCATGTGTTTTCTGTTGGGATGTAATTATATTACAGAAAAATGATTACTAAATTGTAAGATCTCTTTATTATTACAATCAATGCATGATGAGACATAGAAAACATAGTTATGTTTTGCTACATTTTCTACTTACACAGAAAAGGATATTACACAATACAAACATTTTGATAAAATATAATAGGTATAGTTTATGTTTCATATACATCACGAAAGAATACATTTCTACAAAAAGGGGTTTTCAATTTCACACTACGTAAATCTGTTAATGAATAAATTTGTGAGATATTCGCTTCACGTTACTTCCAAAGTAGCGCAACAAAAGTCCTGTAATTATAACCAGAATTTCTTGTAGGGAGAGCGTGATAGTTGTGTATAGATCTATATAGGGTCTGACAAACCGACACCTTAGTTGCATGCAACAGCTAGACCGGCATGTCTGGGGTGACAAATGTCATTAACATTCTGACGCCTGAAGAACGTCGTATACAAGGCTAACTAAGTCATAGTATGGTTATAATAACTCACATGGGGTATTAAGAAAACATAAGATTTACGGGATTTCCATTTAAACTAACAAGTTTATGTCAATTTAAACTTGCATGATTTACAATTTTATATGGAAAAATACTAATACACTATTAGTCTTGGCATTTAAGACTACAATACATTTTTAAAAGGGAAAATATTGGATTTTCTGGATCAAACATTACTTTTACAAGGAAGGGTTTCAACATTTCATTCAAAAAGCTTATGAACTCACCAAATTAATTGTTGACACTTTTTCAAAACTAATTTTATTCTTAGGGAATCAGTAAAACAGGTAAACAACGGCTTTTGAGGATGGAACGCTAAGGCGTCAAATATTGTATTTTGTCAAGATAATGTAATTGATCTAGAAACATGTAAACTTATATTATGATGTAACTTTTTCAATTATATTTATGTTGGTTGTTTGTAATATGAGCACTATTATACTCGTTGTGATACTATACATGAAGTCCTCCACCCTCGGACGTTTCCGCGATGGAGAGCTAATCCTCTTTCATTTGGCAGAAGGTTGACTTTGACTAAGGTGGTCCTTGATAGTCTTCCCTTGTATTTTTTTTATCTATCTTTAAACCTCCAAAATCGATTGTTCACAAATTGGAGAAAATTAGAAGAAAGTTTCTGTGGGGCGGCCTTCGCGAGAAGAATAAAATTTGTTGGGTGGCATGTGATGTGATTCTAAGAATTTGGGAGGACTTGGCATCGGCTCTCTATTTGCTTTGAATCATGCTCTCTTGGTTAAATGGTTATGGCGATATAAAAATCAGCCCAATGACTTATGGAGACAGGTGGTTCACGGTATTCACAATTTGGGCAGGAAACCACTTGAAAAATGGAGTAAAAAATCGTTGTCAGGGGCTTGGATGGATGTAGTGAAAGCTGGGATGGAATTGGAGGAGCTTGGAATTACATTTTCTTTTTTGTTCGAGATTCGCATTGGCGATGGTTCTGATACCTTATTTTGGTAATGATGATTGGACCGGCCAACGCTGTTTGGCCTTGATTTTTCCTCGCCTTATAAATCTTAACAAAAAGAAATCAGCTTTCGTTTCTAAGTGGCTTTGTGGCAATCAACCAAACAGGAAATGGAAAAGGGTGGTCATTGATCATATAGAGGCAGCAAACTTTATCAAGTTGGAAGGCATTATTATGGGGGATCATACTATGAGTGGTGCTGATACTTGGAGATCCAAGTTGTCAAGTGATGGTTCTTTCTATGTCCACGACCTGAGGTACCTGATCAATTTAAAGGTCACCCATCTGGTTCAAAATCCAACCGTGTGGATCTCCTTGGTACCGACCAATGTAATTTGCTTTGTTTAGAGAGCTTGTTTGGATCGAATCCCTACTTCGACGGATTTGGCAATGAGAAAAGTTAATATCACGATCTCGTCTTGTCATTCTTGTAACAGTGGGATGGATGAATCTAATCACATACTTGTCAATTGCTCGATCACCAAAGGGGCGTTGAGTTGGATCCTGAATTGGTGTCAAATTTTTGGTCAGCAATTCAATTTGGTGGCTGAGTTAGTGGGTATTGCTGCATAATGGGGGAGGTGTCCTAAAAAGAGAAAGATATTCATCGCTATCGTTTACGGATTTGTATGGTGTGGATGGAAAGCTAGGAATGCAAAAGTCTTCAATAATGCTAGGACTTCTTCGTTAAATTTGGTGTATAGCATAATTACATTAGTGTTCAATTGGGTAAAATATAAGGACAAGTTTGGTGATTGTAATTGGTGTGTGTGGAGTTGTAATCCTTTTGACATTTTGTAATTTTTTTTCTGTCTAGCCTTGTTTCTTTAAAGGTTGGTGCTAATATATTTTCCGTCGTTTCACAAAAAATAATTAAATGCCTCCAATGACCCAATGTCTAACCCACCTTTTTTTAGAAGCCAAAATCGTATCCCACTTAACCCAAAGCATTTTTCGATCACCTAGCTCTCCCACCTAAAAAAAACAACTCTCAATCTTTCCAAGTATTTATTACCAATGCGCATGTTACCCACGCGTCGCATGCGAAACACAGTCATGAAATAAATACCTAAGGAGCCTAGCATCGATTTCAAGAGCATAGACCAACCACATATCAATAACATTCTAATCCTGAGGAATAAATCTTTTTTTGAAACTTCTCTATAACAACTTTTAATCTCATAGAACATGCACTACAAGAATAATGACCATTTGTGGCGACGGGTCGCCACTAAAGGATCGCCACTGTTGGTTCGTCGCTAATACCTCATTTGTCGCAACTAATGCTTACCGTCGCCGCTAATACTTTATCGTCACTAATATTTTCTGTCGCCACTAAAAGTGTCGCCGCTAATTGTAGTTTTCTCCTTTTTTAATTATTTTTAAACATTCTTTCCATATACAAAACAAACGTTATAAAATTATAAAAATTGTTATAAAAATATAAACATTTTATAAAAACATATAACCAAAAACACATCCATACATACACAAATACATACATAATACACATACAAAAACATATACATACATATACAAAAACACATATACTAATACACAAATACATACATAATACACATATAAAAACACATATATATGTATATATACACATATATATGTATATATATTCAAACTAATACAAAAATACATACATAATACACATATGAATACACAAACATATACAAAATACACATTCTACATACAAAATTTAAAATAAACATATATAGAACATATGGTGGTGTGTAATCCGGTAGAGAAACATGGTGGTGACAAAGAGAAATAAGTTCACAGAAGAGGGAAGAAGGAGCTGAATGGGGTTATATCTGCGAAGGGAATTAGCGGCGACGGTTTTTAGCGGCGACATATAGAGTATTAACGGTGACACCTTTGCGTGGAAATTTTGATGGTCAAAATTTTTGAGTATTATCGGCGACAACTTTGGGGGGAAACTTTGGCGGTCAAAATTTTTGGTGGTGTCGCCACTATTGGTGTGTACGTTATTGATTTTCAGTCCTTAGATTAGAGACAAAATCAACGGCTAAGGTTTCACCTCATATTTTGACGCGGATCGGGGTCGATAGGCATTAGCGGCGACGCTTTTAGCACCGACAGCCACCTTTAGCGGCGACACACAACACGAAAGTTATGTGTCGCCGCTAAAGGTGACTGTCACCGGTAAAAACATCGCCGCTAATGCCCATTTTTCTTGTAGTGATGACAAAGAAGCCCCCACCGGGAGACCTAAATATATAAATGGGAACTTAGCAGCTTGACAACAAGTAAGCAAAGAAAACTGCTTGATCTCAATGATTAGATTTATAAAGGTTGACTTGCAACCCAGAAACCAAATAAAAGCACTGCAAAATAGAAATAAGATTAAGAGGGTGTTTGTTTTTTCTCTGCAGATCTGCGGGAGGTGCGGCGCAGACCACGCGCAGACTTATAGGTTTGAAGTGCGTTTGCTTTTTTGAAGTGCGCAGACATAAAAACGTCTGCGCGAGGTCTTCACCACACAGATATGGGCCAACCTCTTCTAAAGTCTGCCAAGTTCATTTGACCTAAAAAAAAACACGCGTTTTATTTTTCCGCCTCCATTCGTCCAAGCCTCCCGTCTTTGTACACAGATAGCTCGACAATTCCATCTTCACTCCAGCAAGTTTCGCCGACCGACTGTCACCTCCGATCTGTCGCCGCACCGCCCGTCGCCACCCTCCTCTCCGATCGCATCTCCGGTCGTCGCCTGCTTCACCTTCTGCACCACTTCTCGATTGCAGCGAATAGGTATGTCATCGTCGTCCCTCCTCTCTCTTTCAATTCAATTTCAATTCAACTTCTTGTTGGATTTGCATCCTTGTTTCCTCGAAAATAATAATTTTGTTGGGTATTCCTTCATATTCAAATCTTGGAGGTGTATAATTTATCATATATTCTTGCTAAAATTGAAAATACTACATGTAAACAATTCCCAGCAAGCTGTCATTCTTGTTAAACCTTACCTGCAAGCTGTCTTCCTGTTTTTTCACACCTGGGATCTATAATTTTTTTTATTGGAAGCCAATAAACAGAACTACCAAGCAAAAGATAACATATTCTTTTGTTGATTGTGAATGTGTATATGATTGTTGATTGTGTATATGTATATGGTTGTTGATTGTGTATGTATATATGATAGTGTATATGAATAAGATTGTTGATTTGTGGATGATATAATTTGCCTAGAATGTGTTGAAATCAAAGCTTTTTCTTGAAATAATGTTATGAAATAATGATGTTAGTTGTTGAAATCAAGCTTTTTCTTGATGAAAATTTTTATTTGCTAAATATGATAGTGTATATGTTTATGATTGTTGATTTGTGGATGATATAATTTGCCTAGAATGTTTTGAAATCAAGTTTTTTCTTGAAATAATGGTGTGAAATAATGATGTTAGTTGTTGAAATCAAGTTTTGTCTTGATGAAAATTATTATTTGCTGAATATGATAGTGTATATGTATATGATTGTTGATTTGTGGATGATATAATTTGCCTAGAATGTGTTGAAATCAAGTTTTTTTTTGAAATAATGATGTTAGTTGTTGAAATCAAGTTTTTTCTTGATCAAAATTCTTATTTGTTGAAATTGTTGGTTGATTGTTTTTTTTTTTTTGCTAAAATTGTTGTTAGATTGTGCTGAATATGCTAAAAATTGTTTCAAATTGTTGAAATAAGAGGCTAAATTTTTTTTTTGTTGAAATAGGAGGCTGAAAATACTTATTATTGTTTCAAATTGTTGTTGAATGTGCTAAAAATTGTTGTTGAAAATCGTTAGTTGTTGACTGTTTATTGTGAATGCTATATTGGTTATTATAAATGGGAGATAAACATCAATGGACCAATGAGCAATTAAAATGCTTAGTGGATACTTGTATTGAAGAAGTAGAGAGTGTTGGTAGAAAATGATTGAGTTTGCAGAAAGATTCATGGATAAGGCTTGGAAAAGTTCTTAAGGAAAAATTTGGCGTTGACTTGAGTCAAAAACAAATGAAAAATGCATATGACAATCTGAAAGCCAAATACACAGGATGGGTATATTTAAAAAACAAAACTGGTAATATATATAATTCCCAAACAAACACTTTTAACTTAAGAGTCGAGGAGTGGGATGATTTTAAGAAGGTACAATCTCAAACAAACACTTTTAAACATTTATGTTTGAAGTTGCCAAATATTCTTACATTATTTTTTGTTATATTTGGGTTTAGGAGCATCCGAAGGCTGCTTCGTTGAAAACAATGCCACTGCCTTTTCCAGATCTTTGTGCTCGTCTTTTTGACGGAAATAGTGCCACCGGTAATTTTAGGAGTTACTCAACCCAATCATCTTCAGTAGCTGGAGCATCCTCTTGTCGTCTTCCACCACTTTAGATTACCGCCACCCCTTTTCTTGCATTAGATGATGATGGTGATGACACTTCTCATCATGCTAGTGAGACTTTTCATTAGCCACCACCTTCTGCTGCTTCACCTTCTGCTGCTTCACTATCCAGTTACCCCAACAAAAGGGCTAAACCCTCAACTCCTAAAGCTCCTAGTACCTCACCGTCTGCTTCTTCACCTGATGGAACTTCTGTTACTGCTGACGATTTAGCATTTGAAATGAAAAAAGCTCTACAAAGTTTGACTAAAGGGTATACAATTCCTCAATGTTTAGAGAAATTAGAGGTGCTTCAGTTAGGCCCTACAGATCCTTTACGCTTTGTTGCATATCATATTTTTGGAGGGACTATGAACATGAGAGAGATGTGGATGCATTTGCCCGATGTTCCAGAGATATTACGAGGATGGCTTGAGATGACGGGTACAAGTTTAGGAGTTTTGAAGGACGGAAAGATTGTCCGATGATTTTTATTATGTTGAAACTATTTATTAGGTCCTTTTGCTTCCATTTGAACTATTTTGTTAGGTCTTTTTGCCTTTGTTGAAACTATTTTTTGTTATTTTGCTACTTGGAATATGTTTTATCTAATGTGTTTTTGCTACTTGGAATATGTTTTATCTAATGTGTTTTTGCTACATGTAATATGTTTTATGTAATGTGTTTTTGCTACATGTAATATGTTTTATCTAATGTGTTTTTGCTACATGTAATATGTTTTATGTAATGTGTTTTTGCTACTTGAAATATGATTTATGTAATGTTTTTTAAAGTTCTACTTTGTTGATTTTAGGTTCATAATGGATCACGATCAAAAGTTACTTCTCGTAATTCTTATGTACCTGTACATCCGTTATTTTTGGAAGAGGGGTGTGAAACGATTGCGGGATAATGATTCAGAAATGACGGGACATGAATACACATTGGAGTTATTACATCGTAATCGTTTACAATGTGTTGAAGTGTTACGCATGTCTCGCGAGTCATTTGTACGACTATGTGCTCATTTTAGAGCACATTACTCATTAAAGGACAGGAAACATGTATCGGTTGAGGAAAAGATGGCTATGTTTTTTATGATGATCGGCCATAATCAACGTTACGTGATTATCAAGCGGAGATTTCAACACTCGAAGCAAACAATTCATAAATTTTTTGATGAAGTGTTGGAAAAAATGATGTTTTTCACACAAGATGTTATAGTACCAACTTCTTTTAATCCAAATCCAAACATTCCAGGACATAATAGGAGGCTACGACGAATTTTCAAATGAGCGGTTGGTGCACTTGATGGCACTTTGATACATGCTGTTGTTCCTGCCAAGAAACAAGACTTATATAGAAGCAGAGGAAAGGGAGATTGCTACCAAATTGTATTGGCAATTTGTGATTTCAATATGATTTTTACATTTGTTGTGGCTGGGTGGGAAGGGGTAGCGCATGACTCTAGAATTTTATCAGCTGATCCACAAGCTTCATTCCCATTTCCACCACCAGGTAATTTTTTGTTTTTTTTATAAATTTTTTTAATCTTAGTTTCAAAATTGATTAGTGTTTTGCATTTTTTACAGACAAATATTATCTTTGTGATGCTGTGTGTGCACACACTCGAGGATTTATGGCCCCTTATCGTAATGTGAGGTATTGGCTTGGAGATTTTCGTAAAAGACGTGCATTGACCAATAAAGAAAAATTTAACCATGGACATGCAAAACTTCGGAATGTCATTGAGCGTACTTTTGGTGTTTTGAAAGCACGTTTCCCTATATTGAAGAGGATGACACCATTCCCGTTTGTGACACAAAGAAACATTGCCATGGCATGTTTCGCGCTTCATAATTTTATAAGGAGAGAAAGACTGAGTGATGAGTATTTCGCACGATACGATGAACCCAATGTCTCGTTTCGAAATAACAATGGGACCTTTAATGATGATGAAGATGAGATTCCAACAAATGGTACTGCAGCAGACCGTGAATATATGACACAGTTACGAGATGAAATTGCTGATCAGTTGATGCACAATATAGATTGAAATTGTTATTGTTTTAAATGAAATTGTTATTGCATGAATTTTATTTCCAATGTTATATGACTTTTTTTTATTAAAATTTTGGTGTTGAGAAATCTTTTTAAGTTTGTAAACTCATTTTATTTAAAATTCAGTTTATTTCAGTAGCCTGCAGACGTTAAAAAACAAACAGTCTTCTTATTGCAGACTGCAGATGTTTGGTCCACCTCTTCTGCTGCAGAGGCTTGCAGATGTGGTCCGCACACTGCAGACGTTTTGGCTTCAGAAAAACAAACAGCACCTAATTATATTCTCTCTTCGCCAATCACCCAAAAATATCGCATCGTAAACATAAAACAAATGCGACAAATGCTAATTTACCCCAGTTTGAAAACCACAAAAATATTCCACTTCCATTGCATCGTCTAAAACGACATGTAACCCTTTCCACGTCTTGATAAATAAAAAAAGCGATAAAAGGTCTCCTTGTCTTAGCCCACGTCTAATCTTGAATTCATCTGATCGGTAGAGCTTCCGTTAATCAAAATCGACGACTTTGCATTACGTAGGCATCCTTAAATCATAGAAATTCATCTCTACGAAAAACTCTATAAAGCTTATTATAAAAAAAAGTATATATACATTTTACTTTAAAATATTTTTAAAACATATAATATTAGAATATTATACATATTATATTTTTTACAAACATTTGAATATTTTAACATAAAAAGTGGTTTTACGGTCTTAATTAATTAGGTTCATATCAAAGGAATGGGTGGCACAGGTGATGGTGATGATAGTGGTGGTGACGGTGGCGGGTGTAACGGTGGGAAAGGTGCGGGTGAAAAAGAAACGCACGACACTAAATAATCATTAATGATTATAACTTCTCGTCACACTGTACGCCGGAGCTTTAGAGCCCCAAATTAGAAATATGTGGTTAAGGTTTGAATCTCAATATCACTGTTTTTTTCGGAATATCAACCTCTCTCTCTCTATATATGTAATTGTATTTTAAATAACATGAAGAATTTAAAATATTATTTACAATGTCTACAAATAAAAAAAATAAAAGAAAAAAACATCACAATATCGCTGTCACTGTTGAGACGTAGCTTTCATGCACGTATTTGCTAGTAGTTGAAATATCCGTTTCAAATACATAAAAATATATTCTATATCAATAACATAATAACATTTTGATAGATGAATATTATTATATGAAAGGATATTATTTCCGAAAATCATAACAGTTAATATTTATCCTTTTAGTTTTTAGAACATACTTTATGGGTTGCATTTCATATTTAGTCCCATGTTCCGCCAGCTTCTACTATATAAAATGTCGTGACAGGGTATTACACCTTTCTCCACATGCACTCAGGCCAGGAGGTTGTCAACCCATTTTGTAATAATGGTGATTATAAACCGGAATAAATAATTACACAAATAATTGACGTTTAAATATAATATGTTTAATTAACGTGTTAAATAATATATTTCTCAATAGTCGACTCATTAAATCTATTTTTTACACAATTAGCTATAATTTTTTCAAAAGTCGTTGTGTTGAGGGACACCTTCAATTGAAGAATAACACCTCTAAAAAATTCAAAGAATTTGGTAGGTTTGTCTTTTTTTCTTTCATCTCTCTTGTATATAAATATTCATGTTCTTTAGCTTTTCTAATCATCTTCAACCATCTATCTTTCTCTAGCTCTCTATCTCTCTTTCTCAAATCAGCAAGATGGCTTCCGCTACATTGTCCCGATCAGTATTCTTGTTATTGGCTCTTTTCGCCACCTCATGCATAGCCCAAGCCCCAGTCGCCGCCCCAACTGTCTCACCCACCGCCAGCCCTACCCCGGCGGTTGCACCCCCAACTCCCTCCCCGGCACCAGTTCTGGCACCTGCTCCAGCTCCTGAAGCTGCAACTCCATCTCCATCCCCTTCAATATCGCTTGCACCAAGTGCTCTTCCTCCGAGTCCTTCTTCAGCTCCTTCACCGGGGCCCGGAGGACCCACCGCCGATCTTCCGAGTGGATCTTTTGCAGATGGGTGGGTCAACAGAGCTGTCATTGCTGGGACTGCGGTTGCGGGATCGTTCCTTGCTGTTACATTGATGTAAAGAAGATGAGATACATTCTAATTTATTCTTCTATTCTTGTTATAACTTGATTTTGACATCTTTGATTGTTGCTCTCTGTTATTTTGGTGGTTCGTTTCGTTGTTGTTTCTATTATATTTGAGATGTTTGGTGGCAGAAGATTTATTATTTGAATGGTATGTGCTTACTTACTTACACATGACTCGTTCAATGCATATGTATCAAGAAAATGAATAAATGAGTTCGTCTTACTTTTTATTGACTTTTTTGTTTGGAAAATCAAATTAATGTTACGTATGGATAATGAGTCCCTGTTATTTATCAAATCGTATCAACTAATGTATGATAAATTTAGGAAACTTGGAAGCAAACGTTTGATAATAGTACATTTCATCACATAAAAACTAATAAAAAAAAGTAATGAAAAAACTCTAAAATATTTGGTTCATTAAAGTTTCACGGTGTAGCATGCCTTTTGCCGCCGGAATTATGATTTTGCGGTTGTTGCCGCGTTTGCCACCACTTGATTGTTTTTGTTGCCATAGGTAATTTTGATCGATAAATATTTGCACATGAGGAACTCATAATAACCAATAAGGAAGAAACAATTAACCAATATTTTCATTTAATATATTTTTTTATTGGTAGACAACCATGGTAACACACTCGACTCATAAACAAATATCGGTAAGAATTGTAAAAATTTATGTGACGCCTATGTGATAACAAATTTTCATAGGCAAAAAAAATTACGACACTGTTCGGACTAAGAAACCTGAAGTTTTAAGCATCTCGGAGGGCATATTTGGATTTTTTTTAATCGACAAAACAAACACACACGACAAGTAAAGATGCAAAAAAAGAAAAAAATAAACATACAAGAATTTGACGTGGGTTACACAATGAGGATGACTATAGAGAAAATGGATTTAATGACCAAATAATAAGAATTTAAACCCAATGGTACACTACTTGAAAAAAAAAACATTTAATGATATACAACTAGGACACCAAATAATAACATTAGTAAAAAATTGACCTTCGGCCACACAAAAAACGCATCACAATCAGTGGCGGACCAGAGCCAAATCTAACCGAGGTCCAAAAAATATAAAAATTATAAAATTCCGAAAATGTAACGTTATTTTTGAGTTTTGAAGTAATTTTTTTAATGTAAAAGTGTGTGCCAAACAGGGGATTTTTCGTAAAAATTAGATTTTTGGAGGGCTATTTAGTAGTAAAAATTTTAGGGCCAGCCTATATCCGCTACTAATCACAATAGATATTTGTGATGAGTTTATTTTTCTTTATATTTTATTTTAATTTTTTGTTTATTTCAATCAATGTGTTAGGAAAAGCTGCATCATTAAAAATAAGTTAAGGTAACGTTTAATTATGGTGACTATAACTCATAAAAATGTTACTATAGGTAAAAACCATCACCATAAGGTACCAATATTATTAGTTTTTACAATTATTTTTTGATAATTGTCACTAGAAACTACTTTCTCTCACAAGTTGTTTTGTTTTCATGATTATTGCTAATTTTTAGTGACACGTAATATATTAAAACATGATCATAAACTAATATTAGTCACATGTTTTTTATTGATTTTTACTGACACGTAATATATTAAACCTTAACCATAAACTATTTTTAATCATACATTTTGTTCGTTTGTCATGATTATTATTGACTTTTAGTGACACAATAGATTAAACGGTAACTATTATTGATATTTAATCACATTTTTCTGTTTGTCGTGACTATTTTTAAACAACTTCAAATTATTTATTTATCAAATACTGGTCAGTTAGCATCATCTAAGTTATTTTGATAAACAACTTAAATTAATAAACATAGTATAAAAACTGTCTAATACGTTAAAAATATCTAATACAATTACATACAAAATAAATTAAAGAACTCCATCATCACGATCTTAAAAGACCCAAATAACTTTGGTATCTGACCCTTGACAATAGTCACAACCTCCTCATGGAGAATCTCCCAAATCCTATCATCCAACGCAGCTGACCCACCCTAACTGTCAGCTCCTAATCCTGATTTGAACCTAGTCTCAACTCTCCTCGTCGTCACCATACTGAATATAAACCAGGGAATATCGGGTAACACACATATCAAAATAGGGAACCAACTCCCAATAAAGCCGTAGGGGTTGTGACTTCCCTGTTACACATACGGGTCATGTGTTTTTAGTAGTACGAGCTCATACTACCTTCCATACCTACTCGCATTTATCTCATAGGATCATCACAACACCCTAACAATACTCTCTAGCATACTCATACGCTCAATCCTCACACCCTAGATGAAGAGTATATATCTCAAAACTGGTCGGCAGACCCCACACCACTTATCCAGGAAACTTCCACCAACCCTAAAACATTCGTGTATGCTAGCCTTACATAACATTGGACCCTATAGATAGTCGAATATCTAATCATACCTTAAGTCCTTCATCAAACAAGAATAGGAAATAAGGCCAGACCAACATTATTAGGCTATAAAATCTTAGTTATGCATGACCAGGATGCATACACTAAGCAACTACAATAATTATGTCAATTTCATTAGAGAGGAACCCTAGGACCTAATATTAAGTGTCATTGTTCATGGTTCCAATTACATACAACCACTTATGCAATCTGGCATAGTGGATACTATTGAAAAATATGTGACAATATATAACTTGTAACATCTATACAACTTGTCATGATCATTCAATTCATTTTACTCTCAACTTGGTTGTGAAAACATTGGGAATAGAATGTATAAAGTTTTTAATGAAGTTTTTTGTATTTTGTAAAGTTATATTAGAGTCTAGAATTTTAGATTATTAAAATATTAAAACTATAGAATTGATGTTACAATGAAAAATCTTGTTATTCTAATGCAAGTTAGTGGATGTTAATGTTGGTTTGTTTAATGTTGTTGAGATTTTAATTTCGATAATTAATTATTTTAAAAAATGGTTTTAATTATCAAACCTGATTGCATAAAGGGAAAATGACTTTATTATTTAACTCATTAGACTCAGTTGCTTAGATAAAACCAGACTCAATTTGGCTAGTAGGACTCGGTTTTAAAATCGGGCTCTTGTAGTCTTTCACAAAGGAATTGCCTTCGTTTAACTCTGTTGGTCATTTATAGCACGTTTAATAACCCTTTTTTAGTATCGATAATGATTAACAAATAAAAAGTCTTATTAGATATCATAGTATTGGGAAACAAAAACTAAATTGAGGAATTTGAGATGATTCATGCAAAAAGCATCTCCTTAATTTGTAACAAGTTAGTTTGATTTTTCTTAACCAACCCAAGTAAGTTTTGCATCATAAATTTTTTATTCCATGAAATTGTATTCACTAAAATGATAGTAGTGAAAATAAAATGTGTTAAAATTAAAACATCCTAATAACGTTGATATTTGATCAAGATACTGCCTTGTTGCATTTTTACCCTTTAAACAACTCAATAAAAGTTACCATTTTTAGTAAGTATGAAAATAAAAAATTATATTCCCAATGCATTATATGCCAAAGGTAGTGCAATTATCCCGCCTCCTAAACCATCTCCCACCCTCATACCTATTTATCACTTCCGTCTTGTGCACCAAATGCCCTTTCACAACCATCACTTCCATCCTCGATTCCAATGTTTCTTCATTTTTCCTACCAAAACAAGTTTCAAAATCCAACCTCCCTTTATCCATTTTCCTTCTTTTTTTTTTTTGTAAAAAGACTCTCTCGATCTAGTTTCACTTTTTTGTTATTGGGTTTAGAGATAAAGAAGGAAAGGAAAGGTGAAAGGAGAAGAGTGTATCTAGGTGGTTAAGATGTTACAAAGGGCGGCTAGCAATGCGTTTTCATGGTGGTGGGCTAGCCACATTCGAACCAAGCAGTCGAAATGGCTTGAACAAAGCCTTATAGGTAGCACACATCTTTTGTCCACGGTCTCGTTCTTTGGTTACAAAATATATGTTTTTGTAGTTATGAATTTGCAAAATCATCTTTACGAATAAATGAATTGTGTCAATGTTAATCCATAAGATTAATCTGTTTTGATTGTAACAAGACTACGAGTTGTATCACTTCAAAATGCTAAAATGGTCAAGATATTTACACACTTTCCATGAATTCTTGGCTAGATAAGAATACAAAATACGTATTTTCTCATACATTAATTATACGAATATCATAATTTTTGTTAGTTAATTAAAAAATGCTATATATACGAAAATAACCATGACAACTAGATGGGGCATGGAAACTCTATCTATGTTGACTAATTAGCAAGCATTACATCGAAATAGTTAACGCATATGATGATATGAAGGATTCAAATTCAAGATTTTTTATATCATAATCCTATCATCCTATGTTTTACCTATCCAAATAGGGTTTAAGGTGCAGTATTTAATTGTTTTTTCTGGTTATCTTTCATAAATGTCTTATTTCATTTACAATTTATGAATGTTTATGTAGATATGGAATACAAGGTTGAAAATGCACTGAACATTATTCAAAAAGATGGAGATTCATTTGGCAAAAGAGCAGAAATGTACTACCGACACCGACCGGATCTAATATGTTTCGTAGAAGAAACATTTCGGGCTTACCGATCATTAGCAGAACGTTATGATAAAATGTCAAAAGATCTTCAAAAAGCCAATACAACCATTGCTTCAATCTTCCCAGATCAAGTCTCGTATGATGATTTTGATGATTTCGATAGTCCTCCTAACATACCCAAAAACCTACCCCCTCAAAATCAAGGTCCAAATGCAGCAAATATTCCAAAAGTCCCACAACTTCCGAGTAAGAATTTGAAGGGTCTCATCAGCAACGCGTCAAAGAAAATACAAATGACAAAAGCGTTCAAAGAAGATCACCGAACCCGTATTGTACCAAAGTCCGGTTTGACAGAAGAACAAGCACTTGAAGAGAT